TAGTATATATGATTTGAAGAACTGAAGGATAAGGAAGCCAAGTGAGATGTGAGACCTCCACTTTTTATAAGAAGGAGAGAGAGAGTTATTCCAACTTTTTTTTTTCTTTCTCCTTTTCAAATAAACCTCCCCATGAGTTCTTTCTTTTTCTGTTTCTGCTCAAAGACTGAGAACAAGGCACTTCCATATCTTGCAAGACCAAAAGTCTAAACTCCATTTAATGCTTCACTTATTTCACTCTCTTCGAGAAAATCACCATGTGGAAGCACTAAATGCAACAGTGCATTAACTCCCAGGTACCCCACTTCATATTCTTCAAGCTTCAGCAAACATAGCAAAGTCTTTTGATGACCTTGTATTTGTTGAATCAAATAATAGAAGAACAAAAAAAGTTTAACAAATATTTCTGATGTGGACGTTAACTTTTCATGAGTAATATTCCTCGTCTGTTTTGTTTTGGGTTAGTTAAATCATGTAACATTTGCTTCTTCTCAAATTCTGTGTCCTCTTCACAAGTATATGTAACTTTGGAGAATTTGGTTCTTGAACTTGTGAGGTAAACAACTTCGGTAGTTAACTTGGAAGATACAATTGTTAAATTTGCAATGATTATATATGTTTCATCTTTGATGGGGTTTTGTCTGTTTGACTGATCTATGTTGGTCTTATTTGCCTTTTCAACTAAATGACAGGTTTCATTGGGTTATGGTTTTTCTTGACTCTTGATTGCTTAATGGGGCATTGACAAGGAAAAAGGAGAATCTTTTTATGGAGTGTTGTAATATGCTTTTGTTAGTCTTCTTCACCTGGAGTTTCTCTTTTCTGGGTACTTATCAACTTCAATCCTCTCAAACCCAAGTGCTTCTACAACTAAAGAAGCATTTGGAGTACCCAAAAGAGTTGGAAATTTGGAAGGAGCATGGACTAGATTTTTGCTCTATACCTTCAGGTACACAAGTAAACCTTACATGCCAGGATAATGTTGTGACTGAGCTCAGAATTGTAGGTGATAAGCCAAACAAGGTTAGTGAGTTTAATGGATTTGCAATTCCAACTCAAACTTTGTCAGAGAGCTTTTCAATTGACTCTTTCTTCACAACTCTGGCAAGGCTCAACACTCTGAGAGTTCTAAGCCTTGTGTCTTTGGGCATCTGGGGTCAAATCCCAGACAAGATTCATAGACTGTCTTCACTTGAGCACCTAGATTTGAGTTCGAATTTCCTCTTCGGTTCAATCCCGCAGAAGATTTCAGAAATGGTGGAGCTTCAAACTCTTGTAATGGACAACAACTTCTTGAATGGATCTGTTCCCACTTGGTTTGACTCATTGGCTAATCTGAGTGTTCTTAGTTTGAACAACAACAGCTTGGCAGGTCCTTTCCCGTCTTCGATTCGAAGTATCTCCACTCTCACTAATCTTACCATGTCCAACAATGACATATCAGGGAAGTTACCAGATCTTAGTCTCTTAAGCAGACTATATGTATTGGATTTGAGTGGCAACCAACTTACTTCCACATTACCCCCATTGCCCAAAGGGCTAGTCATGGTTTCTCTTTCAGAAAACTCATTCTCAGGTGAGATTCCAAAGCAATATGGCCAATTACATGGGCTTCAAAACCTTGATTTGTCATCCAATGTGCTCATAGGAATACCTCAAGCTTCACTTTTCTCTCTGCCCAACATCACTCACTTGAATTTGGCATCAAATCAGTTGGGAGGTCCACTTCCAGATCATCTAAGATGTGGGGCCCAACTTGAGCTCATTGACATATCTAATAACAGGCTCACAGGTGGATTGCCTTCTTGTTTGAGCACTAAATCAAAAAATAGAGTTGTTAAGTCTGATGGGAATTGCTTATTATTATCAACTGGTGAACAGAATCAGCATGAAGAATCATATTGCAAAGAAGTCAGCCTCAAGAGAAAACAATCCAGAGGAAAAGATAAAGCAATCCTAGTTGGTGTGATTATAGGAATAGTTGTGCTTTCTGTGCTTCTTATTATGGGCTTGCTTGTTTTATGCAAAAATTTTTGTCCTAGAGGGCTTTCAGAACAGCATTTATTGCATAAAACATTTCAAGATAGCTCAGCAGCAGGCAAATGCAAGTATGTTATTCAATATCTATGAAAATAATAATACTAAACTTTTTCTTTAGTTTTAAGAATCAACTGAAGACTACATATTAACAAAAGTTCATAAATGACCCTTTTATAAGGACTTGATGCCAAATTTATCAGTGTTTTCTGTCTTTCAGGTTTTATTTCTCAAGCTGCAAACTTAGCCAGACAAGGCCTCCCAGTGTGCAAGTCCTTTTTGTTGGAAGAGTTAATAGAAGCTACCAACAACTTTGACATTTCTGCCTTTTTGGGTGAAGGTTCGTACGGAAAGGTAAATTCTGTCTGCAATTTGTGTAAGAATAATACCAGAGACCCCAACTTTTTAATACCACTAACGTGGTCATGGCGTGTGAGTTATCATTCTTTTACTGGTACGGGTTTAAGAAATCTCCACATCAATTAGGATTAAAAGATTGCATCAACCAGTGAAAAGATGGCAACTCACTGCCATGTCAGTTAGTATAAAAAAGTTGGGATCCTAGCATTACTCGCTGCGTAAATCATTGCAATTTTTCATGTAATTCATGGTTATAATACACATTCTTCTCCTAGGTTTCATCTAGTTTCTGATCACTCTAATTCTTAGTGCCACTATCTCCATCTTAGTTGAGCTCATTCAATTACACTATGTCATCATCTTGAGTTAAGAATTTACATTTTTAAGTTCCATTCTTTGGTACCTTTTGTTTCTTCTGACTATTCTCTTTTTTGATGTAGCTTTACAAAGGAAGGCTAATGAACGGGACTCAAGTTGCTATAAGGTGCCTGCCTTTGTCAAAGAAGTTTTCGATTCGGAATATTAAGCTCAGGTTGGACCTTCTATCTAAGCTTCAGCACCAACATTTGGTGTGCCTTCTAGGACATTGCCTCGATGGCGGCAGGCTAGGTGATTACAGTCTGAACAAGGTGTATCTTGTATCTGAATATATGCCAAATGGAACTTTTCGCGATCATCTTTCCGGTAAGTCTTGAACATCTCAGTAAATAATTTTTTACAAGACAACCATCTAAAAAAAAATCAGCATGCGTATGTAGATCATGAAAAGTGAAAATACATAACATTCTATTTAGTTGGCCAAATCCTTTCAATTTTTTCTTTTCCAACTTTACTTCACTTTGTTTTGCACATTTTCACAAGCAATTTAAAATTTATATCAATTTCTCTGAACATTTTACTTGCTCTTGTGCAGAGAACAGTCCGGGAAAAGTCCTCAGTTGGTCAGAGAGACTGACAATTCTACTTGGTGTTGCGAAGGCTGTACATTTCCTGCACACCGGAGTCATCCCCGGTTTCTTCAGCAATCGACTGAAGTCGAACAATATCTTGCTCAACCAGCACCAGATGGCAAAGCTGAGTGATTATGGACTGTCTATTATCTCAGAAGGAACCGAAAATTTTGTGGTAGAAGTCCTTATTCAATTGATTAATTGGTTTTATCTATCAAATTTTCGCTTAATCCTCAGTGGTTTTGACTTTTATTCTTGATCTGTAGGCAAAAGGAGACAGCCATAAATCATGGTAAGAATTTCCTTTTCCGATTCTCACAACACACTAGTCATTCAAACTGTTGATACTTTCTTTAGATTTGTTATTGCTTTCTAAAGGTAATTAGATTTAAGTGAGTGAAATGGACCAAATAGATTGTGAATAACTTTTTGTTGACATGTGACATTGGTTGTTTCTCTTCTCAGGCAAATGACCAGTTTAGAGGATGATGCTTATAGCTTTGGCTTTATATTATTGGAAGCACTTGTGGGACCTTCCCTAGCTGCTACCAGAGAGGCATTCCT